GTGAGTTAATGGGTGGAGGCAGAGGTGGACAAAGTAGAGAGTTAAAGGTAGAGAAGAGTTGACAGGGACTGGATGAGAAGGTATCAATGAGAGTGATAAAATAGGCCTACTTGGCAGTGTGGAGGCAAGAATTGTGTTTTTGGAGGGTAGATTTATATTGGTTGAAGTCTTTTTTTAGACTTGGTCTTACTCCACAGATGCTCAAGCGCAGGACTGAGTTTTCAGAGACTTCTGGCATCGTCTGTTTGCCAGGGTTGTGGGGGTCTGGGCCTGATTCTGTGTGTAGTGAGAGGGGCGACCTCATCCAGGGTGGAGGACAGGGATCTGTTGTAGATAGAAGTGACTAGATTGGGGCAGGACAGGGTGAAATATTGTCATAGAAGTTTTCAGTAGCAAAGTGGAGAACAGAAGGGTTAAAGTGGTGAAGGTTTCTATGGGTAATGGTTAGGCAGATGGAGGGAGAAGTGGTGGAAAACTGGGAGAGAGCAAAAGTAATAAAGCCGTGATTAGAGAGAGGAAAAGGATTGTTGGAGAGGTTGGGGGAGTGCATAGGTAGGAGAATACAAGGTCAAGGGTGTTGCTTTAGAGTGAGCAGAAGCCTGTACCCAGGGGCGGACTGACCATTTGGAAACTCGGGCACTGCCCGAGGACCCAGGGTCAGTAAGGGGCCCCATGAGATGCCCCTGGTACCTTTTTCATAGGCTTTTTTGAGTTTGGGCAAGGACACAGGGGCCCCATGATCCCCTATTGCCCGGGGGACCCATGAGTTGTCAGTCCGCCCCTGCCTGTACCCATTGATTCAGGTCAAATGAGAATGATTATGGGCATTTCAAAAGAGAGGAAGTAGGGTAGTTTTGCAGATAAGTAATTAAGGAAACTTGATATTGGTCTAGGGGGGGCAGTAGATGACAGCAATTAAAGAAATTGGAGAAAATAGACGTACATAAATGAGCTTCAAACAATTAGAGGAACCGAGAGGGAGGAGAGTGAAGACCCTGAAAGGTGCTCTGTGGGGATAGAGTGGGGGGGGAGTGAGTCCAGAGAAGACCACCATGGGAGAGGGAAGCAGGAGAAGCAGTGTCGGATTCATGAAGCCAGGTTTCGGTGACAGCAAATAGAAGAAAAGAGTTAGTGACAATGAGGTCATGAACAGAGGTGAGTTTGTTGCAGAAAAGGGGGAGCATTCCAGAGGGCACAGGAGAAGGGTAAACTGTTTTTTGGTAGAAGATGAAAGGAAACAAAATTGTGTGGATTGCGGCTTCTGCCAGAGGGTACAGGGTGCGTTGATTACAGTAAATACAGGAGGCCCAGGGTTTGGGGATATGTCTCAGATGTTGAGAAGCAGAAGGGTGAGGGAGTTAATATGAGAGTGTGATTTATATGAGGGGGGACATACCTCAGCATCCTGGGAGTTTTATTAGCATGTGGTATTAGAATTAGGAAGAGATGAGGGGAGGACAGGCATGAGGGTGATATATATAGATTGTGGGATGGAGAAGAGGGGTGAAGGAAACAGAGTTTGAGGAGAGAGGACACAACTGTGGAAAAAAGGTAGAGAGTGCATGTTAATGGCAAGCTGCGGTTTTCTAAAGCGAGCAAAATCCTCCCTTGTATTAGGAGAGGTATAGACTCCAGAGAGAAATATCATCATTCCCCCTTACCATTAGTAAGACCTCATCTGGAATATGCAGTTCAGTTTTGGGCACCAATTCACAAAAAGAACATTTGGGAACTGGACAGAGAAGGGCAACCAAACTGATAAGAGGCATGGAGGAGATACATAAGGGGGGATATGATCTCCATGTATAATACATAAGGGGGGATATGATCTCCATGTATAATACATAAGGGGGGATATGATCTCCATGTATAATACATAAGGGGGGATATGATCACCATGTATAATACATAAGGGGGAATATGATCTCCATGTATAATACATAAGGGGGGATATGATCTCCATGTATAATACATAAGGGGGGATATGATCACCATGTATATTAAATAAGGGGGGATATGATCTCCATGTATAATACATAAGGGGGATATGATCACCATGTATAATTTACCATGTATAATACATAAGGGGGGATATGATCTCCATGTATAATACATAAGGGGGATATGATCTCCATGTATAATACATAAGGGGGGGGTCATCTCCATGTATAATACATAAGGGGGGATATGATCTCCATGTATAATACATAAGGGGGGATATGATCATCATGTATAAATACATAAGGGGGATATGATCTCCATGTTTTAATACATAAGGGGGATATGATCAACATGTATAATACATAAGGGGGGGATATGATCTCCATGTATAATACATAAGGGGGGATATGATCTCCATGTATAATACATAAGGGGGATATGATCTCCATGTATAATACATAAGGGGGATATGATCTCCATGTATAATACATAAGGGGGGATATGATCTCCATGTATAATACATAAGGGGGATGTGATCAACATGTATAATACATAAGGGGAGATATGATCTGCATGTATAATACATAAGGGGGTGTGTGATCTCCATGTATAATACATAAGGGGGATATGATCTCCATGTATAATACATAAGGGGGATATGATCTCCATGTATAATACATAAGGGGGGATATGATCTCCATGTATAATACATAAGGGGGGATATGATCTCCATGTATAATACATAAGGGGGTGTGTGATCTCCATGTATAATACATAAGGGGGGATATGATCATCATGTATAAATACATAAGGGGGGTATGATCTCCATGTATAATACATAAGGGGGATATGATCTCCATGTATAATACATAAGGGGGGATATGATCTCCATGTATAATACATAAGGGGGGATATGATCTCCATGTATAATACATAAGGGGGGGATATGATCTCCATGTATAATATATAAGGGGGGATATGATCACCATGTATAATATATAAGGGGGGTATGATCACCATGTATAATACATAAGGGGGGTATGATCTCCATGTATAATACATAAGGGGGGATATGATCTCCATGTATAATACATAAGGGGGGATATGATCTCCATGTATAATACATAAGGGGGTGTGTGATCTCCATGTATAATACATAAGGGGGGATATGATCATCATGTATAAATACATAAGGGGGGTATGATCTCCATGTATAATACATAAGGGGGATATGATCTCCATGTATAATACATAAGGGAGGATATGATCTCCATGTATAATACATAAGGGGGGATATGATCTCCATGTATAATACATAGGGGGGGGGGGGGATATGATCACCATGTATAATACATAAGGGGGGATATGATCTCCATGTATATACATAAGGGGGGATATGATCTCCATGTATAATACATAAGGGGGATATGATCTCCATGTATAATACATAAGGGGGGATATGATCTCCATGTATAATATATAAGGGGGGATATGATCACCATGTATAATATATAAGGGGGGTATGATCACCATGTATAATACATAAGGGGGGTATGATCTCCATGTATAATACATAAGGGGGGGATATGATCTCCATGTATAATACATAAGGGGGATATGATCTCCATGTATAATACATAAGGGGGTATGATCACACATGTGTAATACATAAGGGGGGATATGATCTCCATGTATAATACATAAGGGGGGGATATGATCACCATGTGTAATACATAAGGGGGGATATGATCTCCATGTATAATACATAAGGGGGGATATGATCTCCATGTATAATACATCAGTGGTTCATATAGTGAACTCGGTGTAGTTATTCACCCTGAGGTCATCACAGAGGACAAGGAGGCGCTCTTTACGTCTGGAGGAAAAGAGATTTAATCTCCAAACACGGAAAGGTTTCTTCACAGTGAGAGCTGTGAACATTTGGAAAAGACTCCCGTAAGGGTTGGTTCTGACCAGCTCAGTGGATTGCTGTAGGAAAGTCCTGGATTGTTTCTTGGATACAAAGAATATAACTGGATATAACATTTATAGGTAAAGTTGATCCAGGGAATATCCGATTGCCTCACGGGGGATCAGGAAGGAATTGTTTCCCTTGCAGGAGCAAATTGGAGAATCACACTTTGCTGGGGTTTTTGCCTTCCCCTGGATCAACTGTGGGTGTAGGATTATAACTTTGTTTTTTGTTTTTTAATGGTTGAACTGGATGGACTTTTGTCTTTTTTTCAGCCAGACTAACAATGTAACTGTGTAACAGAGTGGAAGGAGAGCTGAATGGGGAAACGAGGTCACCTGCAGTCTGAAGTTTTGCAAAGTAACTTGTAGATTTTTGCTTTGTGCAATCCCTGAAGTGCAAGAGTGGAAGTGCCACTTAATTTATGAACCCACTTTATTGGAAGAACTCCAACATGCACCATCCTGGCATGTGCCTCCCACATAAAGGTGATCTAGATTTATACTGTGGTGGGTGTGTAGCTTGCCAATGAATCAGTCAGAAGTTAATTAAGGCACACAGCTAGCAGAGCAACCTTTTCACATCACAATCAAACTGCAAGAAGATAGGGTTGTAAAGATTAAGATCAGTCATAATTTAGGTAAGAAACTTAAAGGCAAAGTAAACATCACAATAATGTGAACAGAGTTACAGATGGATGTGAAGCAGCCGCAACACAAATGCTGGTTTACTAGAAAGACATTGAGAGTTGTCAATCTGCATTCAGTGTAAGGTGGATGTGAAGCAGCCGTAACATAAATGCAAGCTTACCTGTGAAGGGAGAGAAGAGGCGTCCAGATGAGAACGAGCCGAAGTGCCAATTAACTACTTCCCTTCCAGCCCAAGTCTATAAATGGCTGGACGGGAGTACTGCCGAAGCGGGTTGACGTTTCTAAACGTCACCCGTATTCACTGCCTGTGCGTGCTCCCTGGGAGCGAGCTGCACCGCGATCTGGTGCCTGCTGTGTCTGGATCGCTGTGTCCAATCGCTGTACCCGATTCATGTGATCACTGGTTGGCCAATCAGTGATCACATGCAGAGTAGTTCATAAACAGCGCCCACCGTTTTGGACTGTGCACGCTCCCTGGGAGCGCGCAGCACCGCAATCCGGTGCCCGTTGTGTCCGAAGAACACCGATTGCTGTAGGGGACCTCTGTGTGAGGTTCTGATCATGTGATCACTGATTGGCCAATCAGTGATCACATGAATAGGTGTAAGCAAGATGTCACTTCTGACATCATTGCTTACTATGTGTGAAATCTGTGAATGATCACATGGTACAGGGCTATTCACAACCGCCTTGTACCATGTGACAAGCTGTACCGGATATCGTATGTACACTCCAGCACCTCAGGATATGCACAGCCAAAAGGGAAGCCAAGGGTACCAGGACAGCGACAACCAAAGGAAATGCTTCAGGGGTGCAGCCCTCCTCAGACGGGAAAATCAGCTTCTGGATAGAGAGAAAACAGGTGGCGCACACACCTAGTGCATTATCCAAGATTTATTGTAGGAGTGAAAGAATAATAAAAACATACTTACAGACGAAGCATGTATCTAAAAAGCATAGAAAAATGACAATGGCCACAACGGCAGGCAAGGTGTTCTCACTGTCAGTGCGGACAAATTTCTGACGCGTTTCGGGGATGAATTCCTTTCCTCAGAGCTGATGACCAACCTCTGATGCAGATGTATGATGAATGGAAAGTAGGAGCCTTGCTGTTGAACTTTTTAGATACATGCTTCGTCTGTGAGTATGTTTTTATTATTTTTTCACTCCTACAATAAACCTTGGATAATGCACTAGGTGTATGCGCCACCTGTTTTCTCTCTATCATGTGACAAGCTGTGACCAATCACAGCTCACACAGTATTTCTCAGTGGCTGCAAGAATGCAGCCAGAGAGAAGGAGAGATGATTGCTTTTACAGCCTTTATGGGTGTAAAAGCAATCAGTGTAAAAAAAGAAAAACAAAACTTCATCACGCCCCATAAGTAGTACAGTGTACAGTAGTACTATGGTAACACTGTACTGCTAGGGTGACAGTATGTTAAAAAAAATAATAATATAAAAATGTAAAACAATATTTTGAAAAATAATTTTTGGTTATAAACTAATTTGGGTTATATTTATTTTTACTAGAAAGATAGCTGAATACATTTTGGCAAAGATTTATGAAGAAAGATTATTTATTTGCAAAAGAAAAACACTTTTTTTTCAAAATGTTTGGACTTTTTTTTATTTATATAGCAAACAAATAAATACCACCAAAATAAAGTTTTATCTGTCTAAAAAAAATGTTAAAAAATTCATATGGGTACAGTGTTGCACGACCGCGCAATTGTCATTCAAAGTGTTATAGCGCTGAAAGCTGAAAATTGGCCTGTGCAAGAAAGGGGTGAAACTTGAAGTGGTTAATTAACAAACCCACTTTATTGGAAGAACCCCAGCATGCATGACCGTGACATGTGCTCCGGCATTTTTTTTAAAAACACTTGAGAACCCCACGTTATGCACAGTTTAAGTTGCAACAAACGGTAGTTTGTCTAACACTACAATAATGAACAAACTGTGTACATACAGTTGCAAGAAAAAGTATGTGAACCCCTTGGGATTACGTGGATTTTTGCATGAATTGGTCATAAAATGTGCTCTGAACGTCATCTAAGTCACAACAATAGAAGAACACAGTCTGCTGAACATAATACTACACAAACATTAGATGTTGCCATGGTTTAATTGCACATAACATGTAAACATTCACAGTGCAGGGAGGAAAAAGTGTGTGAGGCCCTAGCTTAATGACTTCTCCCAGAGCTAATTGGAGCCAGGAGTGAGCCAACCTTGACTCCAATCAGTGTGATGATATTGGATGTGTTGCTGACAGCTGTCCTGCCCTGAAAAAACACACACCTATTTTGGGTTTACTGGTTTGAAGAAGCACTGTCTGATGTGAACCATGCCTCGCAGAAAAGAGCTCTCAGAAGACCTACGATCAAGAATTGTTGACTTGCATGAAGCTGGAAAGGGTTACAAAAGTATCTCCAAAAGCCTTGATGTTCATGTGTCCACGGTAAGACAGACTGTCTACAAATGGAGAAAGTTTAGCACTGTTGCTACTCTCCCTAGGCGCGGTCGTCCTGTAAAAATGACTGCAAGAGCACAGCGCAGAATGCTGCATGAGGTAAAGAAGAATCCCAGAGTGTCAGCTAAAGACCTACAGAAATCTCTGGCACATGCTAACATTTTTGTTGACACATCTACAATAAGGAAAACATTAAACAAGAATGGAGTACATGGGAGGACACCACGGAGGAAGCCATTGCTGTCCAAAAAGAATATTGCAGCACGTTTGAAGTTTGCAAAAGAGCACCTGGATGTTCCACAGCACTACTGGCAAAATATACTGTGGACAGATGAAACCAAGATTGAGTTGTTTGGGAAGAACACACAACACTACGTGTATAGAAAAAAAGGCACAGCACACCAACATCAAAACCTCATCCCCACTGTGAAACATGGCGGAGGGAGCATCATGGTTTGGGGCTGCTTTGCTGCCTCAGGGCCTGGACGGATTGTTGTCATTGATGGGAAAATGAATTCCAGAGTTTATCAAGACATTTTGCAGGAAAACGTACGACCATCTGTCTGCCGACTGAAGCTCCGCAGAGGATGGGTGATGCAACAGGACAATGACCCAAAGCATACAAGTAATTCAACAAAACAATGGCTGCAACAGCACAGAATACGCCTTCTGGAGTGGCCCAGTCAGAGTCCTGACCTCAACCTGATTGAAATGCTGTGGCATGACCTTAAGAGAGCGATTCACACCAGACATCCCAAGAATATTGCTACACTGAAACAGTTTTGTGAAGAGGAGTGGTCCAAAATGACTCCAGATCGTTGTGCAGGTCTGATCTGCAACTACAGGAAACGTTTGGTTGAGGTTATTTCTGCCAAAGGAGGGTCAACCAGTTATTAAGTCCAAAGGTTCACATACTTTTTCCTCCCTGTAATTAACAATAATAAAGTTGTTTTGGATAAAGTAAGGGAGAGTTATAACCCGTCATTTTTTTTTGTCACCTGTGTCCCATTGTGGGATTTCCCTCCACTTCCTTCCATAGCCAAAACAGGAAGTGAGAGGAAATCCCCCCCAAAGTGAGGAAAATCCCTGGTTGTCATAGGAATTAACATCCTTTTTGGAAGATTTCCCCTCTATCACTGTTCTTGGGACAACCCAAAATTTGTAAAATTTGGTATTGGTAAACGAGACAAATAGGGTGAATCTCCATAACAAGGGCACAGACAGCAATAGAAAACCTGGTAGGCACTCTAATTCCTCTCCACTAAATCCCAAAAAAAAGAGAAAAAAAAGGTTTCGCTTTTAGTTATACTTTAAGAAATATTTAATAGCGCCAGAAGTTTTTGCTTAGTTCAGAAGAATTTTAGTTGGCAATGTAACTCCCACCATATCACCATATAGGAGTTCAGTTTGTTGATCTGTATAAGTTGCAGTCAGGGAACTCCTGAGGATACCAGGAAAAGCTCTACATGAAATGAAAGATAGATATATTTTTTTTTAGTTCAAGGTAAAGAAAAAGGGAGGCGTAACGATGAGATACACTTGTTCTATCACAAACAGTGGATTCACAGACACAAGAAATGATGAGATTTTCTGAAAATTGGATTATAGGTATAATGGAAAAGGAGACGAAATGACTTGCAGAATACATCATCTTTCCGACGTCTTCAAATACACAAACATCACACTTTGTTCTATCCAACATTTTTTTAAATAAACTTTTGTTCTAGATCAGGATAGCCAATATTACCATCTTTACCAGTCAAATATTTTAAAGTTTAACTAAACCCAAGATAAAAAATTCAATATGTAGGCAGGTTGTTTATTTCAGCATAGTTAGGTGCTGCCCCACACTGGAAGGATAGAATTAATTATGTTCCGTGGTTTTTCTTGGTGGGTTTCTTGACTCTGACCCACTGGTTCTGTGTTATTATAAAAAGGATCCGGAACCAGAGGCTCTTGGCCCTTGGCTGCTGATTACTGATACAGTGACCGGAGCCAGCCTGCTGCATCATATCGAGTCTGGAGTGCCTGCTAATGAACACCTGGCTTCAGGAACCTTCTACAGCCTAGGGCAGGGGTAGGCAACCTGCGGCTCTCCAGCTGTTGCAGGACTACAAGTTCCATCATGCCTCTGCAAGTCATAGCTGTAACTGTCAATTTTGTAATGTTGCAATGCCTCATGGGACATGTAGTTCCACAACAGCTAGAGAGCCTCAGGTTGCCTACCCCTGGCCTAGGGGGACTGCTGGGACCTGCAATTCACCCTGAAGATGCCAATCCTGGATACTACCATCATGGATTCAACCAGTTATGGACACTTTCCTGTGCAGGTATGCTGGGGCAGCCACAAGCATGAGTTAAAGAGGAGTTCCAGCTGAAAAAAAAGGTCAGCAGCTACAAAAGCTGTAGCTGCTAACTATTAAAATACAGTTACTTACCTGTCCCCCAGTCCAGCGGTGTCCTCACCACAGCTGGTTTCACCGGCCATCTTCTCTCTCTGGCGCCGGGATCTTCAGTGTGGGCACCCGGCTGTGACAGCTTGCGGTTTCACAGCCCGGTGCCCACTGCACATGCCCGAGAAGCGCTGCGCTTTATGAATGGCTCCGTAGTCTTCTGGGACCTGTCACGTGTTCCAGAAGACTACGGAGAGGGGAGGGGGGAGGACAACTTCCGCTTCCGATCAGCTTAGGTGATCGCAGTGGAAGTGGGTACCTGTCAAATTCAGGTACCCGCTCCCTCCTCACTTCCCATAGGTGCCAATTCTTAATGGGGAGAGGGGGACAAAAACTTAAAGCGGAACTTCCCCTTTTGGGTGGAGCTCCGCTTTAAGGATTGGTTCAGTGAAAGACTGTTGCCTTTGTTTGACATGCTCTTGAAACCTTGTCCTTGTCTGCTCTGAAGTTACTAAAGGGGTGCAATGTGTGTACATGTAGCAGCCAAATTTACCACCCTAACTCCTCCCACAGTTTTTACACTACATAGACAGTAATATACCGAAACGTGCGGATTGTTCCTGATTGGTGTGCTATTACTTTGTGGAACGTTTTGCCGAATGGTTGGGTGGAGCTCCACTTTAAGGATTAGTTCAGTGAAAGACTGTTGCCTTTGTTTGACATGCTCTTGAAACCTTGTCCTTGTCTGCTCTGAAGTTACTAAAGGGGTGCAATGTGTGTACATGTAGCAGGTGGGATTACCTCTTGCAGGAGGAGTAGTTGTCACTCTCTCTGTGTGCACAGGTACAGAAGAGGAAGAGTTAAGCGAGTGCACACATGGAGTCTGTATTGCTGCACGGCAGGACCCCATTCCGTTACTGGGAGTAGAGTAGCAGAGATACAGGTTGGACAGGTGGAGAGGGCATTGGCTCAGCATGTTCGTTCCAAATGCAACAGTGACCGTGGTGGTGTATATTACCATTAAGATATTGTAATGATTGTATTTATGGATTGTATTGTATGGATTTTGTTTAGCAAACCACCAAAATAAAGAATTACTTTGGTATGGAGCGCCCTTTAATCTCACAGTGTACACTATACAATCCTTTTTCTTTTTTCATTTTCTATCTTTTTAAGTGTTCCTGCATGGCAGACCACTTCCTGTTATCTCACATATATATTCTTATTATTAGAGCCAAATTTACCACCCTAACTCCTCCCACAGTTTTTACACTACATAGACAGTAATATACCGAAACGTGCGGATTGTTCCTGATTGGTGTGCTATTACTTTGTGGAACGTTTCGCAGAATGGTTCACGAAATATCGGTGTTTTTGTGGTGAAATTGGTCCCAT